CAAGCAGGCAAGCGGAAGCAAGCAAGCGCAAGCGAGCAATAACAAGCAAGCAAGAGCCATCGATCAAGTGCAAGCAAGCAAGGGCAAGCAAGAGCAAGCAAGGGAGAGCAAGCACGCAAAAGCAAGCAAGCAAGCAAGTGCAAGTGAGTGTGTGATGCTGATGAGGAGGAATCCATAGGAATCATCGGAATCCATAGGAATCCATCGGACTCGCCATTGGAAATAGCTGGGGGGTGCCATTGGAAATAAGGGGGGGTGCCATTTTCAAAAGGGTGGCAAGGAGAGGGGTGCCATTGGAAATAAGGGGGGTGCCATTGGAAAAAGGGGGGGGTCCTAAAGACCAATTACTTGTGATGAGCTAGTACTCCTATAGGGCAAGCCTATTTGGAGAACGTGTATTTAGATGTATATGTATATGTAGATGTTTTTGTATATTCCCCAGTCAGAGCTTGTCTCAGTAGGGCTCCTAGCAGATTGATCTGGTTTGGTTAGGTGTGCCGCCGATTTCGGCGGCACGCCCGGGTGCCTGGGTGCCTGGGTGCCCAGGTGCCCGGGAGCTGCGTCGCCGATTTCGGCGGCCCGCCCGGGTGCCCAGGTGCCCGGGTGCCCGGGTACCCGGGTGCCCAGGTGCCCAGGTGCCCGGGTGCCTAGGTGCCCGGGTGCTTTATAACCATGTAGCCTTATAGCCCTATAGCCCTATGGCTTTATAGCCCTATAGCTCCATAGCCCAATAACCCTATACATATATATACATATATATATATATATATATATATATCCCTATAGCTCAATAGTTCTATAGCCCTATAGCCTTATAGTCTTAAAGCCTTATAGCCCTATAGCGCTACGGCCCTATAGCCCTATAGCCCTATAGCCCTATAGCCCTATAGCCCTACAGCCCAATAGTCCTATACCCCCCTAGCCCTATAGCCGTATAGCCCTATAGCCCAATAGCCCTAGAGACCTATAGCCCTATATTCCTACAGCCCTATAGCCTTAAAGCCCTATAGCCTTACAGCCCTATGGCCCTATAGCCCTATAGCCCGATATCCCTATAGCCCTATATGCCTATATCCCTGTAACCCTATAGCCCCATAGTCCCATATCCCTATAGCCCTCTAGCTCTATGGTCCTATAGCCCTATAGCCCCATAGCCCTATAGACTCGTAGCCGCGTGGCCCTGCTCTATAGCCCCATAACCCCAGAGCCCCATAGCCCCATAGCCCTATAGGCATATAGCCCTATAGCCCTATAGCCCTATAGGCCTATAGCCCTATGGCCCTATAGCCCTATAGTTCCATAACCCTATCGCCCCATGGCCTTCTCGCCCTATAGCCAAATAGCCCCATAGCCCTAGAGCCCTAAACAAGACTTTGATTGGGTTTCCTCCGGTATAATATATATATGTAAATGTATGGGTATAGGTTTACGTATATGTATACGTTTATGTATATGTATATGTGTATGTCTATGTATAGGTGTATGTATATGTAAATGCAACTGTCTATACGCATTTATATGTATATTTATATGTACGTGAGTATATACATAGGTGTATACATTTTCTATGTATGTATGTATATAAATATATGCATATTTATATGCACCTGGATGTTCCCCAATCAGAGCTTTCCTCTGTAGGGGTCCTTGCGGATTCATATGGTTAGGTGAGGAATGGCGCCGATTTCGGCGGCATGCCCGGGTGCCCGGGTGCCTTGTTGCCTGGGTGCCTGGTACCCCTTTAGCCCTATAGCATTATAGCCTTCTAGCCTTGTAGCTCTATAGCCATATAGCCCTATAGCCCTCGAGCCCTACTAACCCTACAACCCTATAGCCCTTATAGCCCTATAGCATTACAGCCCTATAGCCCTATAGCCCTATAGCCCTATAGCCCTATAGCCCTATAGTCCTGTAGCCCTACAGCCCTATAGCCGTATAGCCCTATAGCCCTATGGCCTTACAGCCCTATAGCACTATAGCCCTATAGCACCATAGCCCTATAGCCCTATAGCCCTAAAACGATTTCAACTTCTCCTGTATCAAGTTGATACATATAAATATGTATGTGTAGGCATATGTGCTTGTATATGAACATATAAGTGTTTACGTCTGTCTTTATGTATTTGTACATGTATACGTGTAGGAAGGTGCATATTCGTAAGTGTGCGTATAGGTATTTGTATATGTATATGTTTCCGTAAATCTGTATGCTTTTTTGGTAAAGTCTGGATTTGCATATGTACTGTATTTAAATGTATCTCCGTCCTCCCGTCCCCTCGCCGCCGGCCTTTCGCAGTGGGTCCGAAGCGGCCGCCTCCGAGCGCGCCACCACGGTGCGCGACCCCCGCTTAACCATCGTCGTCTGGGCGCGCCGGCTCTCGACGTCTCCCCCGAGCGGTTCTTGCCAGCCTCCCGTCCTGACTTCCTCGCCTCGTCTTCCTCCCTCGAGCGGGGAGTGCGGGGAGGGGACCATAGTGGGAGCTCCGAAAGGAACTCGCGAAGCCCCCTCCCCACAGCGGCTCTCGCCGAGGCGAGGTCGCCTATTTCTCAGAGCTGGCAGGTCCCGCACCGCCAGTTGCTTGCGCTATGCGGTGGGCCCGTGGAGGTCAAACAAATGCCTCGATGGGGGAGGCTGAGGAGGAGGCTTCTGCTCTCTGCGCCCTCTCTGGGCACTCTGCTGTGCCAGTGCTTGCTGCCTCTCCTGTCAGGCACGTGTCTGCCGCCCAAGGTACACCGGTTGGTTCACGACCGTGCCAAATCGTCTTTTCCTCACCAGCAGAGCGCTCCAGCCAGGACGCTGAAGCTTGCCCAGCGTATCTGTGTATGTCTTTGTATATGCACATGTACAGGCTTATTCACATGTGTACCTATACGACCACCCTTCGGGTGATAAGGGGGAACCAACGTCTCACTCAATCGGTCTCACTATCGGTCTCACTATCGATCTCACTATCGATCTCACTATCGGTCTCGCTCGATCGATCTCACTCGATCGATTTCACAATCGATCTCACTCGATCTATATCATTCGCTCGATCTAACAAGGGACCTGACTATCGATATCACAATCGCCATCACAATCGATCTCGCATTCGGTCTCACGATCGATCTCACTATCGATGTCACAATCGATCTCACAATCAACGTCATCATCGTCATCGACAACAACATCACCATCATCATCATCATCAACATCATCATCGGGACACAATCATCATCATGTCATCATCATCGTTAACATCAATATCATCATCATCCATCGGGGCACCATCATCATCATCAACAGCAACATCATCATCGAGCATATCATCATCACCATTATCACCATCGGGGGGCCATCATCGTCATCACCAGCATCATCACCATCATAAGCATCATCATCACCAGGACAGCATAATCAGCATCATCACCATCATTATCAACATCATCGTCGGAGCACAATCATCATCATCATCTGCATCGTTATCTTATTATCATCATCAACAACATCGTCATCACCATAAGCATCATCGTCATCGGGACACCAGCATCGTCAACATCATCATCAACATACTCATCATGATCACCATCATCATCATCATCATCGGGACACCGTCATCATCATCGATATCAGCAACATCATCATCATCATCATCATCATCATCATCATCATCATCATCGGGACATCATCATCATCACCATCATCATCATCATCATCATCTCATCATCATCATCATCACCCGGACACCATGATCATCACCATCATCATCAGCAACATCACCATTATCAGCATCCTTCCCATCAACATCATCGGGACACCATGATCATCACCATCACCATCATCACCATCATCACTGTCATCATCATCATCATCATCATCATCATCATCATCATCATCATCATCATCATCATCATCCGGCGGGACACCGCGTGCCCCCGGCCGCCCGGAAGGGAGACATTTGGTCCGGCCGCGCCTCAGCCACAGGAGACTTTCCTTTCGCCCGCCCACGCAGCTTCGCCTCGCCCGCACGCACGGCACGCACGAACACGAAACCGAAATCGATTTCCCGGTAGGGGGGCTCTCCGTTCCACTTCGATCTCACCCCCTCACCTCCGATTTATATACATATGTGTATGTTTGTGTATATGTAGATGTAAAGGTATATGTGTTTGTGTATTCCTGCAAGTCCATATTTGTATACACGTTTTTATGTTTCCATGTGCACCTCTCCAAGGGAGTAGAGCTCAGACTCGATTCTTGTGTCGTTCGCTTTTTTAGTATGGCCGTTTCGCTCGGGGCATCCTCAACATCGTGAACATCAGACGCACCAGTCTTGCAGATCGCGACGTCAGAGCCAACAACGCATTGGATTTCAACAGTTCAACACCATACCTCCAAAAGTACAGTGGAATTCCATGATGTGGATACACATATTCGACATTAAGTTGTTGTCAATGGGATCCCGTGTATTTCTGCAGCATTGTTTACAAAACACATCAAAGACGCAATGGGATTCAGTCATGTTACACATAACACTAGAACAGCATGTGTGATTCTTTGGTTCCCAAATTCGTTCTCCAACTTTGCTCTCACCTCTGTTTCTTCATGCCCACAGGGATGCTTCTCAACTTCTCGTCTAATCTCAATATGTTGCAACTACATCGGTCGCCACCCATTGCTTTTGTATGAGCCTTGGCTGTACATACATACAGACATAGATGCAGATCATTGGTTTTTGTCTCTCGAGGACCTCCTGGAGAGCGTCTTGAGAGTGTTTGGGAGCTTCTTGGAGGCCCGCCGCATCTATTCCGCGCTTCTTGGGAACTGCTCGGTGCCTTTGGAGGCAGTGCTGAGCCCTGGGGACATGGCGGTGGGTGGGCCGTTAGAGCACTACACAAGCCGTGCCATACCTTTCTCGTTGGGGCAAAAATCACGACGTGAGGTTTTTGGCAATTTCGGCCTCTGGGGGTCCTCACCGGGCCGCTGGAATTTCGACGTCGGAGACCTGTGAACTTGCCAGGGGACACGGTGGCGGATTTGGAAACGCAGTGGAGCAGCAGGTGCTTCCTCAAGAAGCTTACCTTTGAGAAGTCGCCCGCCGCCTATCTGCAGCCGTGGATCCCTCTCAGACTGTGTGCGTCGCTTCCGAGCCAGAAGATCGTGTTACTTCTCCGCAATCCCACGTCGCGTGCATACTCCGGGTTCTACCAGGCACAGAAGGTGATGAGGAAGGGTGCGATGACTCTGGATCGCAAAAGCGTCACGTTTGATGAGATGCTGTTTCACGAATTGGTGCTTCTCGAGCTCGCCATCGCGACGACATGCAGGGGTCTTTTTACCGGCACGGGAGAGTTCCGCAGTGATTGGAATTTGGCGCTGCAGTTTCACGACTGTTGCGCAGAGGTTTCTGAGAAACAGGGGCACCCACAATGGCCAGGTTGCTTTATTGTAATGGCCTGCGGCCAGTGCCGCCGATCCCCGGGGCGCTCCTGATGCGTGTGGGAACGGACGATGATGACGACGACGACCGACGATGAGCTCGACCCCCCCCTCCGTCCCCGCTCGAGCTCCCTCCTTGGACCCCCCCCCGCTTGAGCTCGACCCCCCCCCGTCCTCGCTCGAGCTCCCCCCCCCCCCCCTCGATTCTTGGACCCCCCCCCCGCGCTGGAGCTCGACCCCCCCCCCCCGTCCTCGCTCGAGCTCCCCCCCCCCTCGATTCTTGGACCCCCTCCCCCCGCTGCCCTCCCCGGTTTCTTGGACCCCCCCCCCTCCGCTTGAGCTCGACCCTCCCCTCCGTCCCACTCGAGCTTCCTCCTTGGACCCCCCCCCCCGCTTGAGCTCGACCCCCCCCCCGTCCTCGCTCGAGCTCCCCCCCCCCCTCGAGTCTGGGACCCCCCCCCCCCGCTTGAGCTCGACCCCCCCCCGTCCTCGCTCGAGCTCCCCCCCCGTCTTCGCTCGAGCTCCCCCCCCCCCCCTCGATTCTTGGACCCCCCTCCCGCGCTGGAGCTCGACACCCCCCCGTCCTCGCTCGAGCTCCCCCCCCCCTCCCCTCGATTCTTGCCCCCCCCCCCCCCCCCCCCGCGCTGGAGCGTTCACTGAATTGCGTGGATAATTCGCCGGATCCCGACCCCTCCCCCCAGAGCGAAGCTTGAGCGAGCTCAAGCCCACGCTCTCAGAAACTCACACGCCGGATCGGCGGATTTATGGCTTCGTGAAGCCTCCAGGCAGCAAGCGGAGCCTTGGGGGCGCAACGGGCGTCAATGTGTCGGAGCACATGTGCGACCCAAGCTTGTCGTCCACCTACAGGTGCAGCCAAGATAAGGCAGAGTGCAGTTTCCCTCCTTTTCCTTCTCCTGGTTTGCGATTCGGCCCCAGGCTAGGAGCATTTGGCGACTATGGTTTTGACTTCGTCCGGCAAGGCGTGTACGTTGTGTATGTGAAGAATTGGTTGGTTTACCATCGCCAGGAAAATTTCATGATCGTCACCGCAGAGGAGCTGAAGAACCAGGGGCGGGAGACTGTCTTGGCTATCGTGAACTTCATGTGCAGAGATTGGTCTGATCGATGCCAGAACGCTCATGAGATGCTCGGCAAGCTGCCTGATGCTGCTTATCATGAGACTGTAAATTCTAAAACACAAGGGCACAAGCCGATGCTCGCAGCAACCCGCCAGCTCCTGGACGATTTTTACGCGCCATACAACGAGCAGCTCGAGAAACTTCTGAACAGGCGAATGAACTGGTCCACGCGAGCACCATGATGAAGGCGAGCTGCTTGCCGCAATCGCGTCAATGCGCTCCCAGAGCACATGAGGAGCAGCACGTGGAGACTACTTGAACAGGTCTTGATATTCAACGGCGTAACCCGGTATTCAATGGTATGACCTCGCGATTGGTAGTTAGAGGATTGGTTTTCGGATGTTCGTGCCTCAACGTCTCCTCCTCTTGCCTCCAAGAATTGAAAGACCTGCTGACAATGGTACATGTCTTGGGCTGTCTTTCGGCCACCTTGGGGCGTTGTTTGCCATCGCGGCCACCGCCATCGTGGGATCATCTTCCAGCTTGCTATGACCATCTTCAGACAATCTTGGAGGTAGAGTTCTTTCTCCAAAGTGGACACCCATCGGCCTCCTCTGTTGGGCCAGTCTGCGGCCGCCCTTGGGCCAGTTTTGTTCCGAACTGGCCCCAAGTCTTTCCTGACCCTCCTGTGATATTGGGCCCTCGTTTTGAACAGAGTGCCCCGCGTCCTTCTCCTCTCCCCTTCCTCCTCCTCCCTTCTGCCCCTCCTTGCCTCTGCCCTCCGCATGCTTCTGTTTCGGCACGCCACTCACACGTTTCGTGGCCCCGCAGGGTGCTCTATAGAAGGCCCCAGCGGCAGAGTCCGCATGGCGTACCCGCACCCGATTCGGCACACCCCTCACCCGTTTCGTGGCCCCATACTGAGCTCCACCGAAGGCCCCAGCGGCAGGGTTCGCATGACGTACCCGCATCAGATTCGGCACACCCCTCGCACGTTTCGTGGCTCCAAAGGGACTTCCACCGAAGGCCCCAGCGGCAGGGTTCGCATGGCGTACCCACATCATATTCGGCACACCCGTCACATGTTTCGTGGCTCCATGGGGAGCTCCACCGAAGGCCCCAGCGGCAAGGTCCGCATGGTGTGCCCGCAAACCCAGCCTCATATGGTTGGGCTCTTCGCCAGGATCGTGCAGACTCGAGACTTGACAAACGGAATGCCAGATCTGATTAGAGCGCTCCTAACCCGATGGTGCAGGAAATTGGCACCGCTTCGTCACTTCTTGTATCTTTGGATTTTCAGGATTTCGAGGATTTCCTAAGGTTCCACGCGGGCTGCTGAAACGAAGGTCGCTGGATACTCCGAATTTCCTGAGAACGATCCTGAGCCACTCGTCGTCGTCGTCATCGTCGTCGTCGCCGTGGCCGTGGTCGTGGTCGTCGTCGTCGCCGTGGTCGTCCTCGTCGTCCTCGTCGTCGCCGTCGCCGTCGTCGTCGTCGTCGTCGTCGTCGTCGTCGTCGTCGCCGTCGTCGTCGTCGTCGTCGTCGTCGTCGCCGTCGTCGTGCCCGTCGTCGTCGTGCCCTTGGGCAGTCTTTTCCCGAACCGCGGCTGCTCCTCCCGAGGGGCGCCCGCCCGCGCGGAGTCTCTTCCCCGCGCGCGGCGTGCGTGCCGCTTGTCTCTGCCTCCGCCTGCGCCCTCGGCCCCCCCCCCTCCTCGCTCTCGTCCCGCGCTCCCTCCTCCTCCTCCTCCTCCTTCCTCCTTCCTTCCTCCTCCTCCTCCTCCTCCTCCTTCTCCTCTTCCTCCTTCCTCTCCTCCTCCTCCTCCTCCTCCTTCTCCTTCTTCCTCCTCCTCCTCCTCCTCCTCCCTTCCTCCTTCCTCCTTCCTCCTCCTTCTCCTTCCTCCTCCTCCTCCTCCTTCCTCCTCCTCCTCCTCCTCCTTCCTGGCGTTCCCTGTCGAGACCCGATCGTCTCCCAGTTGCCTACAATTTTTGGGCGCGTCTACAGAGCGGTGTGAAACATACCCTGCAGTCATTGTGTCCCGACGCGCACTCATCGCGTCAGTCGCCAGATCTCATTCCTCGTTTCCTGCACCCTCCTGTCGGCCTGCCCCCGCCCTCCCCAAACCCGAGCTCCTTCCCAACTCCCTGCCCCCTCCTATCTCTCTGCATGCGCCCTCCCCCAGCGCCGGTCGTCTCCATCTCCCATCCCTCTTGCTACTCCTGCCCCTGCTACCCGGCTACCCGCACAATCCTCCATATGTACCACGACCGTTTACCACATCTTATCTGCATTCCTGTTGTTAACGCATGCGTGGCAGAGCAATCGCGCCAGAGGGTTTATTAACCCAGCACGCGCGAAAGCATGTTTGGTGGCCATCCCCGTCTGGTGAGAGCCCTGCGTGGCACGTGCGCTCCCCAAGAGCGAAGGGGGGCATGATTTGTCCGCCTCCGTGGGCCCCTTTGGAGTCGAAGCTTGTAGTAGGCTCGGGGCGGAGCAACGAAAATGTCACGAATTTCGGTCTGCCAAGGGGGGGAAACGTAACGAATTTCCCCCCGCTGGGTAGCAGAGAATTACAGTCGTGCTTCCTATTTGATCTTCTTAAGCCACCAGTCCATACTGAATGTTCTTAATATTGTGGCATCTTCATACGCCTACTTCCCATCGTATAGTTTCTCCACCGCCGCACTTCTTCGTCTCGCTCCCTTTCTCTCTCCCTCTCTCTCTCTCTCCCTCTCTCTCTCTCTCCCTCTCTGGGCTCCCTGCCCCCTCCTTTCTCTCTGCGCGCGCCCTCCCCCAACGCCGGTCGTCTCCATCTCCCATCCCTCTTGCTACTATCCCTCCTGCCCCTGCTACCCGGCCACCCGCACAACCTTCCATATGTACCACGACAGCTCACCACATCTTATCTGCATTCTCTTGTTAGCGCATGCGAGGCATCTTCTTAAGCCACCAATCCATACTGAATGTTCTTAAATTGTGGCATCACACATTCGCCTACTTTCCATCGAATAGTTTCTACACCGCCGCACTTCTTCGTCTCGCTCCCTTTCTCTCCCTCTCCCTCTCTCTCTCTCTCCCTCTCTCTCTCCCTCTCTGGTCTTGCCTCGCCCTCCCTCTCCCTGTCCCCCGTCATCGGCTTATCCACCATCATACCCCTCGCTCCTACCCGACATTCTCTCGCTCTCCCCCAGTTTCTCGCTGGAGGCCCCAGTGCACTCACCCAAGTTCCGACTCTACTATCCCCCTCGCTTGCCCGAGCAGTGGCCCTCGACGGCTATTTCTCGAATGGTGGCCGCCTCTTCTGCCCCCTCGGACAGGGGCAGCATACCAGCCCCGTTCGTTCACGGCGCCACGCCACACAGGGACCAGCCACCCTTAAGGCTGTGTATTCCGCCAGTATCCTCCTCCTCCTTCCTCCTCCTCCTCCTCCTCCTCCTCCTCCTCCTCCTCCTACCCCTCCCCCTCCTCCGCTTGCGCCCTTGCCCCCCCTCCTGCGCCCTTGCCCCCCCTTCGAAGAAGACAAAAACGACATGCAGTCGGACCGGGATCCGAGATCGAGGTCGGCTCGGCGGAGGGCACCCTCGCGGCCTTCGTGCTTCCTGGGTGCTCCTGTGCATCCTGGGGCGGGCACCCTCGTGGTCTTCGTGCTTCCGGGGTGCTCCTGTGCATCCTGGGGAGGGCACCCTCGTGGTCTTCGTGCTTCCTGGGTGCTCCTGTGCATCCTGGGGAGGGCACCCTCGGACGTCCTCTCGTCGGCGGAGGGCCCCTCTGTGCCCTTGCGGGATGCTCTTCTGCCCTGGGTCCGACGGTGCACGTAAGCGTAACCTTACGTCGGGCCTGTCCCCCTACAGGGGGACCGTTCAAAACCAGCCCCAAAAATAGCCTGGGGACGATTCTTGGACCATCTTCGAGTATTTGTTGTTGGGGGTTAAATTTTTTGGGTAACTCTTTCATTCTCCGCCCAAGATCCCCCTGTAGGGGGACAGGC